AAGACCGAAATACCTTTTTCATTGGTGATATTTTATAACATTTTTGAGAAGGAAAAAGGAAAAGTAGGATTATTTGTTTGTTTGAGAAAATGTAAAAATTCAAATTCTAAAAATTCGCTCCTTACCTCTCTCTCTTCTATCATAAGAATATAAGGTGTAGCGCGATCCAAACACATTGCATTCACATCCACAGTCATTTCACCAAGCATATTTACTATATTTGGGTAGATCATCATCGGGTCTGAATCGATCGATATCTCATCATTTTTTCTACATTTATCTATTTTTTTCAACTTACATGTTCCTCCAGTTTTATTACTACAACCAGCTGGACGTACAACATCATCAACTCGAAACATGTAACGTCCTCGTACCACATGTGGGACACCGGAACGTTGGGCTAGCACCTGGGTAAGTTAACAAGGTTACCAAGGTTACTCAAGGCTGGTAAAGCTAACCCTGGTTTTGTTACCTTTGGAGTGTTTTTGTAAGCTTGGGTAGGGTCAACATCGACAACGCCCGTGTGATTTCCGCCATTGAAAAGAGCCTGAATAAGCAAGAAAAAATAACCAAGGGTATACCAGCCTGGTAAACCAGCTTACCCTACAACGCCCACTTCGAGAATTTGCGCGAAAATCTTGAGCATCGAAGCCCAGTCGATCGTAGTTGAAAATAACATAGGATAAACGACCCGGTTGGTCAGTCAGCCATATAGCCTAAATTAGACTTGGGTAAGATAATCAAAACGGGGTAAAAGCTATGTTTACCTGGTAAGTGGCAGTTTGACCCGCATCGATGTCAGATCGCCCAGCAATACCTGAAGCTGTGTTGTGCCAGGTGACGACCAGGGCAGCATCGGCACGAAACATCGATGCTCCGGCTACTCCTTCTGAAATTTTTGAGAGATTGATTTTGGGACCTGAAGAGGGGCGAGGCGGGAACGGGTCACTAACTCTGTAATGACCTCAAAAAATCAAAAATTTCGGATCAAAACTCGCGAAAAATGTTTGGATTTTTTCTGTAATTCACATATTTTGTCATTGTTTATTTTTTCTGAGACAGCGCATTTTAAGCAAAAATAATCAATTTGAGTTACTATAAATTATGGTTATGTGACGAAGGGGTTAGGCTTGGAGACTGTACTCCTTTCCCTGATTCAATCATTATTTAAAGCAGAATGCAGAAATGAATTTCAAAAAGTACCTTGCAACCATCTCATCATTTCATCTAGGAAGAAATCACTTTGTT